ATGTTAACTGAAAAGTAATGCCCATTACAATGGAATATCATTCAGCCTTGAAAAAGGAGGATATTCTGCCAGATGTGGCAACACAAACGAGCGTGGAGAACAGTATGATAAGTGAAATGATCCAGGTGCAAAAGAACAAATACTGCGTGATCCTTTCTTACTCGCTTTCTGGTCATTGGGACACAATTCTAGCACCTGCCACTGAAAGGAGAAGAGGTTCCTTTGGGCTCCAGGGCAGAAGCAGGGTCTGGGGAAGGACAGTGCTCCCTTCATGGTGCACAGGAAGCAGGAAGTGGAGAGAGAGGGATGAGCTGGGGCGGAAGAGGAGATCTTCCAGGCCACGCCCTAGTGATGCTTCTTCCAGCCAGACCCCAGCTCCTAACGCACGTCGAGCCTTGGTTCTTGGGTGGATGGGTCCATTGAGCAGCTTTTCTTCCCTGAGCCAATCACCCACCCGCAGCCGCATCTCAGGACACAGGAGACGGCTGGGGTACAGGAGAGTCTGGGGCACATCCCCATCTAAACCAGAGCAGTTCCCGCTGCTTGCTGGACTGAGAGCGGCCCAGCACCGCTTTCTTTGGAGCAACAGCCGCTCGCCATGAGTGGAGGCACAGGCCTGAAGCAGGGGCGGGCTCTCCTCACCCAGAGCCTCTGAGCAGCCGCCCACGCTCACCCCCGCCTCTCCTCCACGCGCCTTTCTGACACCCTCTGTCTGCAGTGGGGTCTCTTGGGCAGGTTTTGCTTTTGTCTCCTTTCTCTGCCTTCGTGGGGAAAATAAGAGATCATCTTTTAAAAGACCGTTTTTGTCCAGCAGAGAAAAAGCTGGGTTTCCAAAAGCTTCACTTGAGATCGTTGCACATCCTTTACCCCGGGAAAAGGCCCCGGGGGGACGCGGTGCTTCTGAGGCCTCCCGGGGACCCCTCTGCCCACTTCCGTGCGCGGCTGCACAGATCAGCTGGGCGAGGCCACCCGCCACCGACGGTTGGTCAGACACTTCTCAAGGGTGCCGTGAAGGCACTCTTTACCCCAGGGATTAACGTTTGAATCAGGAAACTGATTAAATCAGGTTACCTTGCATCACGTCAGCCGACCGCACCTAGGCGAAGGTCCGGAGAAGACCGTTCTCCCAAGGCCGAGGGGCCACTGTCCACAGCTGGGTCTTCGGAGCTGACCGCAGCGCGACTCCTCCGGAGCCTTCCCCCTGCGGATCTCCCCGCCGACCCAGGATTCGCCAGCTTCGGGGGTCGGTTCTCCCGAACGCTGTCTCCGTCCTTGCCTCTGTCTGTCTCATCTCTGCATAGGTCTGGGTGTTTGTTTCTTTGTTTCTCTGTTTCTCTGTTACACACACACACACACACACACACACACACACACACACACACACACACACACACGGCCCTATATTTAGATCCTATTGGCTCTGGGTCTGCTTGCCAACATGAATATTGAAGTTTGGGGGACGTAGCATGCATCTCACTTGCTGGGTTTAGGACAGGGACAGGTTGTGGGGGAAATTCTGGAAGGGAGAAAATAGGCAAGATATGGGGACGGGGCAGATCATCGGACAAGAGTTGAGAACGTCCTGTTGACAGAGGGGTAGAGACCCTGCGAAAGACAAGTTATGTTCATGTTTATAGAAGTTATGTTCCATTAAATAACATGACATAAAATACTGATTTCCGTAAAAGTCTTGAGTGAAACCTACATCAGCCCTATGTGCTTTTGGAGAAGACAATCATGTCTGGCAAACAGAGGTGCTGAATTCTGCATTTTGCTAGGAGTGGGGTGGCCGGACGCCCACCTGCGTCACACAAAAATAATCGATGCCTTATTCCACGGCTTTTCCATTCAAAGGGGAGCTTCGGTCAACTCAAATCTATCTAAAAACAATAGGCAAGTGAGAATAATTTATCTTAACTTTTTTTCTTTTCTGGAAAATATAAAAGGGAAAATTATAGTAATGAACTTTGCTAGTATTCGAAGTAGTGGTTTGCTCTTGAACAGTGATATACAGAAATCTGTGTAGTTTTACTATTAGCGCACTGCTAGCTGAAGAAAGTTACACGAATTGTGTAGTAGGACTGAAAAATATTTTAAGATGCTGGGTCGTGACTGAAACTGGACTCTAGTCCCCAATCTTGGGCAGATTGCCTGTCCACCTCTCAGCTGTAATTCTTCTTTTCACTTGTTCAAACCTATCAGGTGACCCAGAAACTCCTTGGAAAGATCTTTTTATTTTCTTTTATAAATTGCTTATTTTTTCAGTATGTGATATTGTTAATTACACCTTTCTAAACATTATATCTTTTTGTTTTTCCCACAAACAGATGATGTGTCATTCTTTTTTGGGATAATAGTTTAGCATAATTTGAGATATATTTATTCTTTGATAATATACTTTTTCTAGTTCTTTAATTTTAAAAATGATCTTTTAAGAGAGACACCATCACTTTCCTAAGAAGAATATATATCTTAGTTACTTTTCTTGTTGCGGAGATATACTACCTGACACCCAGGGTTAAAATAGAAAAGGTTTACTTAGCTCACAGTGTGTAGAGGTTTCAGTCAATAATCGGCCAGCTCCAAGGCCGGGTGGCTTGGCAGAGGAGAACAGTTCATGGCGGGGAAGACTATAGCCAAGCAATAAGGGAGTGAGCGCAAGACAAACATCTTTCTGTTCTTTATATTGTATCTAGTCCACTGGGACTAGGGCAGTGTCAGTCCAATCAGTGGGTTGATCCAGCAGTCACTCACCTTTAATCTCAGCACCCTAATCCCAGCATTGCACTACGAATCAATCACAGACTCTAGATTCAGCCACTTTCAAAAAAGCCCTACGACTGCATAAGGCCTGGGGGAACATCTAGACACAAACCATACAGTACATATATTTAGTTAACATTCTTCTGTAGACAAATGTGTCATCAGCCTAATAGATAGTATCCCAGTGAACTAACTGAAGCACCCAAGGACGAGACTTAACCTAATGGAAGTGCTGAATGCCCAGTGAAAGATACTGCGGCTGAGGGTTGTTTGATACACAACATTATCACAGAAAGCCTGACTAATACGTATGCCTAAAGTGGGTTTTAAAAATACATATATATCTTAATATCTGGTAGGGTTAATCCTTTTTCATTACTTTTCCTCCAAATTTATTATTTGTATACCTTTGGGCACTTTTATTTTAGAATCTGTTGGTTAATTTGCCTCATTATCCTACCCCTTCAGGAAAAAAATGTGCTGGAATTAAAATTGCAACTTTTTTGAATACGTGCAGCAATTTTGAGAAAGAAAGGTACTTAAAAAATCGTTATGTCATTATATCCATGATTATAATTTGTTCTCCAACTTACTTAGTTCTTTTTTATACATCTTAACACTTAAGAACTATCCTGATCAAGATCAGATGCGTTTCTATATTGATGGTCCATTGTATGTTCTAGAAACTTCTGGGTCCCTAACACCCTCTCAGAGATGAACAGGTAAGAAAATGTGGAATTCATGCATGATGGAGCACTACTCTGCCATCAGGAAAGACAAACTTGAGGCATTTATATCAAATCAATGCAATTTGAGAACATAATGTTAAGTGCAATAGGTCACAAACACAAGCTTAAATATTGCATGGTTTCCCTTATATGAGAAACTCAAATATACACACATACATACGTCAAAATAGAAAATAGACAAATAGAAAGTATGGAGAAATTCAAAGAACTTCCCAAATTATTTATTCTGTTGTTTCAAAAATATTTTTAAGCTAAATGCTAATTTATTTCACTTATACTACTGCTTTTTTTTATTTATTGATTTTTTATAATTCCATGAAGAGAAAATACTCATAGTATGTGGTGGATTAACTAATGGTTGACTTGTAACACCCAGCTGAACTGAGTCAGCATGGTTTGGGTGTGGAAGGCTCACCTGAGAATTTTGTTGCCAACAGCATAAAACGAGAACTGGGGTGGGAAGCTGGTGTGGTGTTGATTCTCCTGGAGAAGCTTGTCACGCTGGTTTTCCGGATATAAACAAAGCTATTCTCATTGTAGAAGGAGCTCGGAACCTCAATGTAGCAGAGGATGGCTGTGGTTCTTTTATGGGGAGCTCTGGTCCTTACCTTGAGTGTTGCTCCTTGGCTCCAGTGCAGATCCCTCAGCCTGCTGGCACAGATCCTTCATCCCGCTAGCACAGATCCTTCATCCCACTGGCGCAGACTTTCTAGCTTCCACCATTGACCTTTGGGACTTTGCAGCGCAGATCCGTGAAACAGGTCTGCATGAGACATTGTTGTGGGCTGGGCTTCCAGCTGGACTCATGGAGGACAATGCCATGGGATCCAGGCCCTCAGCTGGACTTTTTGGGTTTCTAGTGTGTGGACAGATTTCTTTTGTTTGTCTGCATTTGACTTTTTGGGTGATTATTATACAACAATCCTATAAATTATGTGTCTTGTATTAAATCTATTCCCTTGCAAATCTTGACTACAACTTAGTCTTTACTTTCATTTTCTAGGAGTGAAATGAATCAGAATGCAAAAGCAGATATGGCAGTATAATCAAACACTAGAGTTTTGCAAAATACGTAAAATAATGCCTTTCTCTTGGACACGTTTGGGAAAATATAGTTACTTTTCAGTCAATAAAGCTATTTTTTGTTATCAGGCAGTGAGTTCAGTATCGTTTGCTTCTGGGGTGCTGATGATCAAGGCCAGACCTCAGACTTGATGGTCAACTGCTTTGTGCTGAGTTATCCTCCAACTCTGATTTTTTTTGTCTTTTTGAGACAGGGTTCCAATATGCAGTTTAGGCTGGCCTTGAGCTCACTCTGTAGCCCAGGCTGGCTTCGAACTTACTGCTATCCTACTGCCTCAGCCTCCTGAGTTCTGGGACTATAGGCATGCACACCCACACCCAGCTCCAACTCTGATTTTTAAATTAATTAATACAATTTTTAATTTGTCAGTTTTAATATCAAATATGGTAAATATTAATATATATGTATAACCCACTTAAAAGCTCTTTATGGTCTTCAATAATTGTCAAGTGTGTACAGGGGTCCTAAAAGAAAAAAATAGGAAAACTGTCTTATAGTGTTATTGTTAATGTAAATAATATTGTATTTTCTGTTTAACTTGTAATTTTGTTACTAATGTTAACATTTTTTCAAATAAGCTTTTTAAAGAATTGTTTTGGTTTCCACCTCTCATTAACAACTTCCATTGCAATGGTGCATTTCTTATAAATACTGAGCTGAAATTAATACAATGTTAGTGAGGAAGTCCATACTTTATTAACTCCCCCTTCATTTTTACCCAGTTTATTCATTCTATTTCTGCAGCCCACTCAGGATGCATGGTGTGTTTAGGAGAGAGACCTCCTTAGGCTCCCCTAGAATGTGATCAATTCTCAGATTTTCCTTGTTTTTGATGACTTTTATCATTTCTAAAGTGCTGGTCAGGCACTTTGTAGAACGCCCCTTAGGATTTGCATTCTGTTTTCATCTTGATTAGACTGGAGTGATGGGTTTTGGGAAGGAAAATCACAGAGGAACAGCCTCACTCTCAGACCATCCTACAACAGGGGCTCAACATCGATGTGACGAGCCCGAGGGAGTGGACCAGCTCCTCAGTCCCTGGCTGAGGTGGTTTGATCAGTTTCTCCCACTGTGAAGTTTCTCCTTTGGCTTTTCCTTGCCTTGCTGTCCTCTTTTGAGGAAGTGACCAGAGCAGGCCCCAAAGGAACTGTGGTTCTACTATCTTAAAGAGGGAATATTGCTTGTATGATTTTGCTAGTGTAAGTTATTAATTTTTTGGTTGATTGTGTGTCCAGCAGTCCCCCTAACTTAATCAGATATCATATCATTTTGTACTACTTGGTTTTATTATAAATCACTATATTATGTGATTATGATGCTTTTGTCTTCTCTTTTAGTCCTTATATCTAATACTTTAAAAATTTCAAAACTCAGCATCAATTTCAACCCTATTGCAAGGATTTTCATCAGTTGACTTAAATACAATATTAGTTTTCACTCTATTATCAACTCCAGTAGGAGGATATGGGGGACTCAACCAAATACAACTGCAAAACACCCCCGCCTATTCATCAGTGCACAAATAGGTAGAGGAGTGGTCACCCTAAGCTACAGTAGCCTGTGTAGGTCAGCTTTCACAAGGCTTTGATATGACAATACATCATATCACCCCCAGATCTGAGAGGTTTACAAAATTAAGGATTTATTTCTGGTCATCTTTACCTATCAGCAGCAGTAGGGCTGTGATCAGCAACTCTGAGACACAGTCTCCTTGCGCAGATGGGACAGAGCAAAGGAGCAGCAGATGGAATCCTGAAGCTCTTTCTTGGCTGTGGGAAGATGGGACTTGGTAACAATGCAGTAGGAAGTCCAGTCTTGCTAAGTGAGGAGCCAGAGAGAGTGCTGGAGATGCTAGAGGCAGGCCGGATGCAGGGGATGGTGAACGATCAGAGACAGGATCACAATCCTTCACAAACACTGTGGAAAATGACAATAGACACAGTAGTCATCGTTGTTTTCCAACCTTACAAGAAACAGATGAAGCATTTTCTTCCACTAAGCATAATCCTTGTTAGGTTTTGGTAGTTCGTTTGCTGTCATTAAGAAACTGCTCTTCCATTTGTAGTCTTAACTTTTTAAGAATGTACTACCTTAATATTAACATTCATTAGGGGCTGGAGATTTAGCTCAGAGGCACAGCGCCTGCCTGACAAGCGTGAGGTCATGAGTTCGATTCCAGGTATCGGCAAAAAAACAACAAAAAACCAAAAAAATTAACGTTCATTAAAATTTGTCCCTTTGTTCTATTAAGGTAAATTATGTACTTTTTCTTCCTTAGTCTACTAACAAGAATTAAATAGATTTTCACTAGACAAGATGGTAGGAATTCATGGATGGTTGCCACACTGCACATTGCTGTCTTCAAATTATTTGCTCAGATTACCAGATATAAGCATGCAAAACTGGTCAAAAAAATTAAGCATTAACTGTTCCCTTCAACAAACCATCAGACATCAACAGTACAGTTATCCCAGGTATCCATACATATTTTTTCCCTTCTTTCCTTCTTTCTTTTTCTCCTTTCCCTCATCCCAGTTGTTCCTTCCTTGGGGCAATTTCTTTCCCTTTCATAATATCCATTGTATGTTTTGGGTTTTATTTACTCTTTCAGGTCTTACATTCTTACCTCTAGTAATCTGAGCAACTTCTTTGAAGATAGCAATATATAATATAACAACCACTGTTAATTCCTATCATTTTGTTCTGAAATCCTGTATCATTTTTATTGTTTTTGCTTTGTTGTGTTTTTGTCTGTGTTGTTGGTACTTTGCTATTGTTCTTTTGTTAAAAAAATTATTCTCTTTTAAAAAAGAATTAATAGATTTTCAAAAATACACCTATCTGCCTTGCTTTTCTGAGGACAGTAAAACTTTGGTGGATTGTTATATATTTTTTAACATTCTGTTTGATTTCGTTAATTTATTTTTATTTGAGATTCTTGAATCTATTTATTAAATGAAATTGATCTGTATTTGATCAACTTTTATGGCCTATTAATATGTTGACTAAGATTATAGTAATATTTTTCTTTGTCTAAAAAACTCTGATCCTCATCTTTTGTTTCTTCAATGTTTCACCATGGATAGAGCACAAGAAATAAATTAAAAAAGAAAAAAATGGGTGATCTCTTTTTATGTCTTCACCTAATTTTGATATAATTTTGTAGCCTTGTAAAAGTGAAGTGGGCTGCTTTCTTTATTTTTCTGATTTCTGAGACGATTTAAGATCAGAATTTTGGGTCCTTTGAAGTTTGATATAAAACTATCCTGAATCTAGGACTTTATTTTGGGGTAGGGGGAAAGGATCTGTTTGTTTGTTTGTTTGTGATCCTCCTTTTGAATTTTTTTTTTAATTTGGGAAAAGATCTTATGCATATAATGTCAATTTCTTTAATAAATTGCTACATTTAAGTTTTTTGTTTCTTCTGTGCCAAAATGGACTCAACATTTTTCTCCAAAATTAATTGTGTTTAAGAAAAATTTTTAAATTATGCATGTATGATTGTTCATGATATCCTTTCATAGTTTTAAAAACATCTGTGGCATCCTTTTCCCCCTAATTGTATCAAACTTATTTCTTTCCTTCCTTTTATATCTTTCAATGAAATCACTGCTCGGAAATTAATATTTAGATACTCATAGCAATAAGTTTCTCCTTTTGGTGGGCTTACAGTTGTAGATCAGTGTGGAAGATGCCAATAAAAATATAAAAGTGATATTTGAGAATTGAAATTCAGCTGAGCTTAGGCAAGACATTTACTATAAAGCTTTAAAATACAATATAGGTAGGAAAACAGAGCAATGATTAATTTTATTAAAGTCATTTCTCTTCTCATGAAATAAAGCTGAAATGTACTAAATGTGGCTAAGGACGAGCAGTTTAGATGTCAGGAGGAAAAGGTCTGGCTTATCATTTAGGAACGTGGAAACAGAGATGAATGGAAACCAATTTCAAGTCGAATGCAAGGGTTTGGCTGGGTTGAAAGAATAACAGCTGGAAGCATCTGCTTATCAGTTTTGACCAAGTCATATTTCTGTAGTTTTTCCCCTTTTTGGGTAGCAAATGCTAGACCTTGAGAATGATTTCCTTATTCAGTACACATGAAAATATATATTACAACAAGTGTGTGCATGCACACATCCACAGACACATACACACCAGAAGAACAAAGCACCTTTCTCTACATCCAGATGAAGCAATGTATTGAAACTAGTTTCCCCAAAGAGCCACAGTGGGAAAAGATCTCAGATGAGGAATGATGCACAAGACTGAGACATCTACAGGCTGAGAAATAGGCAGCTCTAACTTGAGGCTTCTAAGGTAAAGAGAAGCAGTGGTTAAACCCTCCCGATACACATTTCATATTCACTACAGCCCAGAGAGGTAGATTTCAGCATTGTGCATTTGAAGAGGCATCTCTGTCACCTGGGAAGGACACGGGAGACCCGACTCCAGGAACACAGACTGCGGACACATTGTTTGAGTTAGAATCCTGCCCCACCACTTTACTGCTGTGTGGCCTTCGATATACCACTTAACCTTTCTCTGTTTCAAACTCCTTATCCATAAACTGGGGTGGCTGTCAGTACCTACCTCCCAGGCTGCTGTGAGGATTAAGTGAATGAATACACAGTAAAGCACCTAGTGTGGCCTGGGGCTCAGAGTAAACCCTCAGTAGTGTCTGAGTCTGGAAAGGCAGGAGGCATGCGGGAGCAGGGAGGGCAAGGGACCGCTCTCAGGAGGGCTGTTCTGGAACCTGGACAGCATGCTGAGTCCCCACAGCAGGGACATAAGAAGCATTTCTGCTTTCTCTTCTTGACCTTTGACTTTGAATGTAAAAGACTCAGTGCTGGGGACCTACTGTAGGCACATGGGTCAGTCTGGAACCACAGCTATATCAGATCCAAGCAGGAATCAAGATCAAGGTACATACTCCTTCTCCCTTTCCTCTTCTTTCTTCTCCTTCTCCCCTATTGCTTTTCTTCTTCTTCCCCCTAATTTCCAGTTTCTTAAAGTCATTATCCTTTGTCCACACCATTTCCTTATTCTCATTTCTTAGACAGCATCTTACGCAGTAATAAACTTGACCGGCTATCAATAAGGGAATCAGGAATTCAAGAGTTAAGTCTTCATTTCTTCTATGAGAAAACACACCAGGGTGTTAATGATACCTCAGGATGACAGAGTTGGTGATGGAGATAAAATTACAGGGGTAGGATGTGTTCTCTGGCAGCCAGAGTGACGTACTTTCAATATAGTAGACTATGACCAATAGTTAATGCTGTGTTTAGTTTTGAAATAATTATAACAAGCAATTGTGTGTATTAAAATTTCATGCAGCTCTCATTATACAGCACAAGATGGGCAATGAGATATGCCTGCTACCTTGTTGTTACAATGTCTTTTGACCCGGGAGACCCTGGCTGGAGAATGAGGGCCATCCTTCTCTCCTTGTCAAACTGAACCCAGCTACAGGGCTCCCAGGGGTCCCCATGGGGCTTCGGGAAGGGAGGCTGGAGCTATCGACTTCATCTCCCACGTGGTCCCATGCTGACTCACTCCAGCAGAGAAAGAATAACAGGCTGACAGCTCAGCATACCAGGTGTGAAGAAGTGGGAGGAAAACAACCTGTGCTAAAATGTTCTCCTACCTGGCGTCTTAGGGGAGTGCGCAGGTCACACAAAAATAAAACTGGAACAAATGAGCTGGCTCAGCTTGGCAGGCAGATAGAATGAATTTGTGATTTATTAGGTGGGTGCAGGAAACCCGGTAAACTACTGAGAAAAACACACACTTGGCTGACAGGAAGAGACAGAGGGAAGGTCACGCACCAGTCAGGATAGTGGTTGTGGGCCCAGTGCCTTCAGCGACGAGCGGGATGATCTCGATCAGGGTGTGGCATCAGCGTGTGCGCCTCAGCTCACTCTGTGGGGCTGATGTCAGGGTTGAAACATTTAGCACGGTGCTTGTGGTGCTCAACCAGGGCTGTGGTTTGGGTCTGCAGAGTACCCTAAAGGCCCACACGTGAAGAACTTGGTCTCCAGCCTGTGGAACTCTTTGGAGGCCTTGGAATCTTTAAGAAAGGTCTGGCGGGAGGTCTTTAGGTCATGGGGATGTGCCAGGATGGGCACATGGGGCCCTGGTCTCTTTCTCTTTCTCACTGTTGTTCACCTCCCTGCTGTAGGTGAACTACCCCACCCTGCTGCGCATTCCCCGCTATGATGTACCGCGTACCCTCAAGCAACAGGGCTAGGCAATCCAGTTTGTTACTGTCACGTAAAGCTAACACACACACACTCAGTGTTCCCATCCTTCCCTTTCTTGGTTTAACATGTTCGCAGGATCAGGTTGACAGGTGTTGACAGGTGTTGCGGTTGAGATCTAAAATGTCTTTTACAGTTTGTAAGTGTGGAAGGCGACTGGATCACAAGGCACTGCATTCATCCCTGGGTCCATCCCCTGGGGAGCTCAGCAGCTGAATGGGCTCGCTGGTGTGTGACCCAGAAGGGTGGCTTCTTACCTCAGCTCCTCCCCCCTCTCTCTGTTTTCTGGCTGCCATGGGTTGAGCACCTTTCTCCCTCCATGGCCCTCTGCTGTGCTATTTCAGCCTTGAAGCTAGCGGACCATGGACCAAAACCGTGAGCCAAAATAAATCTCGTCTTTTTTAAGCTGTGGGTGTTGGGCATTGTGTTCCAGTGATGAAGAAAGTGACTGAGACAGTCTCCTTTAATGACAACACAGTCAAAAGCTGAAGGCCTGGAAATAACTTTGCTACAGTCAAGGCTGTTCCCTAGGAGACTGCATTTCTCTTCATATACATGTTCATTCCATGACCCAGTCTAAAATGATACCTAATTTAATTTAGTGGTCCTATTCCCACTCTGTCTTCTTACTCTCACTATCTTACTCTCAGATACCATATCCTATATATTCATATACTTGATAATTTGAAACTTAGGGGTCTAAAACTTTCACTTCATAGATGGAAAAATATGACAAAGAATTGGACAATGATGAAGGTTACAGTTAGTGCTGGAACTAAAATCATATTGTTAGGGTGTGACTTCTAGCAGTAGGGTGACACATTCTCTGCCACAGTACAGTGTACCCACTGTTTAGTGCCTTGTTTGCTTCTGAACTATTTATCAGAGGCTATCACCGTGGTGGAAGCAAATCAGACCATCTGAAAGCATATGCCCGAAATAAGTGCTGCTCACAGCACTTGCATGGTGGTCATCAGGTTCTGTAGAACTAAGTCCTTTAATGGCTTGTGTCCTTGGTCTTACTCTTCACGGTCAGAGTAATGCAGCCTTGCTCCATTCATTTCACATGTTCTCATCACCAGTCATAATACTCTGTGCTTTACTTATTCTACCTCATTTATTGCTCATAAAAATCCAGTGAAGTGAACATCATCATCCCCATTTCACAGATAAGGAAACTAAGACGTTGAGATTACTTTGCTGGAGTCATACATATATTAGGTGCCAGAACTAGGATCGTGATTGACGGGTTCCATGACCCTCGCTTGGCTTTCACCCGTGCCAAAGCCACAGTCTACGGTAGCTCATTTGCAAGGTTGCAGATAGAAATGTAGAGTGGACTTGGTCTCACTTCTATGTGCAAATCACATCTAAACTTTGCGTCTTTCTGAGGACAACTTTTCCACTGTGTTTGATTTGTCTGGCTGTTGCGGCTGAGCTCTGGCGGGAGGTGAAGTGCACAGTAACAGACTGCTAGTTTAGCCTGCTACCGACACACGCAGGGTCTGAGCCCAAATGGACCAGAGTCCTCCCAGTGCCCCACTTCACGGAGCCACGGTGGCTTGCAAAAGCCACACAGCTGCTTCCTGACGTGCAAGCAGGAGCCACCTTCCCGTTTTAGAGCTGTGAGAAAACCAGGTAAACGTTTCCAAGATTACCGTATTATTCCTGGCAGGGAAAATGCTATAATTCACATTTCTGGGCTCTTGTTTTTGCCCTTTAGTCCATAGTTTGACTTCCCTTGTTCTGGGGGAGTGTCAGGGTCGTCCCCTCCTGGTGCTGCTGCAGCTAAAGAAAGGTAAGATGTTCTATTTTTAAAAAGCGAGAACTGATCACAATCCTTTTATTTATCAGTCGGACATGTTTTGAGTTTTTTCTTCATTTTTTAAAACTTCGATGTTGCTAAATGATTAAATCAGAAAACCAATCACCAAAATCTTATCAAGGTTTTGTCTTTACTTTTCACAGCTTTGTTGACATTTTCCCCCCTTCTCTTCTCCTCTCCCCTCCCCTGTCTTCTTTCCTTTCCTTCCTTCCTTCCTTCCTTCCTTCCTTCCTTCCTTCCTTCCTTCCTTCCTTCCTTCCTTCCTTCCTCTCTCCCTTGCTACTTCTCTATCTCAGTCTTTCAGTCTCCCCTCTCTTCTCCTCATATTCTCCCATCTTGTATAGTTCCTCTCCATTCTTTTTGTGCCTGATGAACTTCTACTAATCCTTTGAAATGCACTCTTCAATGTGACCTTTTCTAGGAATCAGCCTTAACCTTTCCTTGTCTGGGGTCATGTAGTACTAGGTCCTATTTCCGTCACAGCACCATATTGTCTTAAAAATATTTGTTGCCAGAACAGAATTTATCACGTGGTGCCTGTATTCAATACACCCTAAACTCCTTAATTTGAAGTCCTTTGTGGTATAAACCTGGCAGTGCTTCTAGTTGCATAACTTACTGTGCACACATTCACCCTATGATCCAAAAACATAGCTGGAATGTCAAAAAACCTTACACATGTCTGCATCTCTAGCTCATTTTCCCCCAATGCCTTGAATACCTCGCCTCTTCTAGTCTTTGCCAGTGCAGATGGCCCCACTTCTTGGAGCCCTTTCCCAGCCTTCCTGGATCCTCAGGGCACCTTGCACGTTTCTCTGTGACACATCACACTGTTCCTCACTTCTGTCCCAATGACCTTGGAATTTGTCTCTTCCTCGTCCTACCAGGAGCTGGAGGGAAGGGTCTAGACCTGCTCTATTTCTAACCCCAGCACCCAGGGAAGTACCAAGCACATTTTAGATGCTTCTCAAATTCTTGTGGAATTTAATGAATTTGGAGCAGTCATTGCCAATGGTGATCCCCGTAGAGTCATTGCATAGGTAGGAAACACCGTGCATAAGCCTGTAATAACATAACAGAAAAGCTAACCTGGAGACAGGAAATTCTAGCAGAACAGCATGGTTCCAAAATCCATGTGTGACGATCGTTGCTGTGGCTATTGTTCCTATTTTCACTCTTCTGAGCTGCAGGTTGTGTAACACCGTGTGTGGGTGTGTGCCCTTATTCACTGACGTCGGTGGGCAGAGCGCCTTCTCCAAACATGGCCAGGTGCTGTGTTTCAAAAGAAACTGCAGCAACACTTCACCTTTGCTTTTGTTATTTGTTTGCTTAGGTCATTGCTTTGCCTCCCTTGCCAGCGCTCGCTCAGCTCTGAATTTTTATTTGACCTCAGCAGGTGAAATATAATGTCTTGAAGTAGTGCATGATTGTTTCCAACAGTACTTCATTTTGCAGGTTACAAAATGAACACGGGCCCTTAAAATACCACAAAGATAATGAAGACAAAAAGCAAACACCTCTAAAGTTGTGGTCAGAAGTCATTTTCCTCCCTGTTTCTGGTTACTTTCCTCTCTTAATTCCTGGCAACCCTGCATGTGCAGTGCTGGTCGCCAGCACCAAATGGTAATTTATCATCTTTCTTGGCAGGCTTCCTGCTTCATCCTGCACCTGCCTTCTTGAAAGAAAACAAGACATCAGATACTTATTCAAATAATAGAATAGCTGATCAACTGGATCTCTGCACAATAGAGAGTTATCCATGATAAAAGAACAACTTTTCATGCATTATATTGTGACATATGCATCCTTTCTCTTAAGATTTATGAACCCATGACTATTAGTATTGTTAATATAATCAAACCTTTACCGCTTCTCTCCCAAGCTTAAACTTATTATCAATTGGCTGTTGGAGGGGAGTCAATCAATTTCATAAATGCTTAAACACCTGCACTCTCTTTGAATCAGGGGGAAAAATCAATACCTAGTCCTCATTTTTCTTGTAGTATAATGCAACCAAATCTTGCTTCAAATTCAGGAGGACTTGTAATTCAGGCAGCCCCACTTAAAGGCATTGTGAGCTTGACTCCAAGTGACAGTGCTTTTTGAAAAAAATTATTCTTCCATTTTTATTCCAGATCCCAATTAAAGAGTAGGCCATGAAGGGCAAAAAAAAAAAACCAAAACAAACAAAAAACAAAAAAAAAAAAAAAAAGAAAAATAAACAGGTTCTGCTAATACTGTTCAGGATTAGGTTCTTTGCTTGTGGTAGGAGAGTGTGTATGATATATTTGTATGTGTTTAACAACAAGTGCTCTCACTTGTGTATTACCCAGGCATAGTGTCAGTCGTGGGACACACACGGGTGATTGACACAAGGTCCCTGCCTACAGGACTCTCACGATCTATAAGGGAGGAAGTTGTACACAACTTGCTCTAATCGTGATATAAAATAGAATAATTCATTGAGGTAAGGAGGAAAAAGAAAAATTTGAACAGAAAATTAGGACACTTTCTTACATGCTTATTGTGATAGGCTGGTGCCTCCACTTTTATGAGCACCTTCAGTATTTGCAGTAAATTGTGAAAATACAGGCAAGTCTGTTGAAAGTGGTTTAATTCTTGTTTTTCTCTTATATGGTTTTCTTCTTTGTTATTTTGAGAAGTTTTTTCGAAGCACAGAAAAGCAAAGTCTGATGGAGTCTAACTGCTTGTTTATGGTAGAGAATTACCTGCACCCTTCCACTTAACCTTTGTTTCCTGTGTTATGTCAGTGAAAGAGCGGGAATACTGTAGGTAAACTGGAGTCACTTTTGTTTCCTTACCCACCCCTCCTCTCCCTTCCTCCTCTTTATCCAGAACAAGGTGCTTATCCCTCCAGTTCGCAGGTCTGTAAGTTTATGCCACCTGGTTACTCTTTGGCTTTGTCACCTGTAAAATAGTGTCATTAACCAGCTACTCTTTCTGTCCCGTAGGGCTTTTTCTGAACATCAAATAATATACTAAATACGACATAGTAGGTTATAGATTACTATGGGAATGCTATTTATCATTATTAATAACTCCAAGTATATTTATAAAAATAGTGATACCATTGGTGTGTTTATAATTTATATAAATTCACATACACGCATATAATTTACATAATAAAATCACACATTCATAATAAATGGAATATATACACAGCCACACCTCCCCATCCACATGCACACACACACACACACACAGTCAGCCCCTCACATCTATGCAACTATTCAGATAGCGTTTAGACTACATTAGGTATTATAAGTAACCTACAGGTAATTTAAAGTATATGGAAGGGTGTGCTTAAATTATGTGCAGAACTACACCATTTTATGCAAGGTATTCACATTGTTGGAGATTTTAGTATCCCCAGAGGGGTCCTGGAACCCCTAGTATGTGTAGGGATGACTGCATGTATGTGATTGCATGTGTGTGTGCATATCTATATATACATATATGCAACCTCTGCCTTCGTCCTCACTGTTGGTCTCCCACATCATTCTACAGTAACGCGTGTTAGTAGAAGACCACCTGACCCCCTCAATCAGCAATTGTTGATCACATGGGTTCCACTTTCCATCACATCCTTAGCAACTTAAGGCCAGTGTCTGCTTTGGTTGCTGGCCCCTCACTACCTGTCACGGTGTTGGTAATATTGTTGAATTGGCTCAAGCAAGAGAAAGCTTCCCAGAGTTCGTGGCCTCTCACTGGAGATCAAGAGGGAAGCAAGAGTTCTTCAGCTGGATGGAGGTTTGAGCAGATCTTCAGGCTGAGGATTGAGGTGGGCAGGAGCGAGTGACTTTGAAAACAGGGGTCCACTGTCTAATCCACGCTCCGTGGGCTTCTTCTAGACCGGAAGAGTGTTCTTAATTAGCATACATCTTTCTCACAATTGGGTTTTCTTCATAGCGAAGTTGTAAAGTAAAATAGTTACCAGGGGTTAGGATAATAGCTGTCTGACCTTTCTTGGAATTTTCCCCAGATATGCTTGAAGGTTATTTTTCTACTTTTTACACCTGGTGTGCTGTTTGATAGTGTGACACCTGGTGACTGGAATTTTCTAGCTCTCCACCTGCTCACAAAATATGTTATTTCTTTAATCTAAAAATACTCTACCCTTTTTAAAGGTGTAGAACAGAAGAGAACCAAATTTAAAAGTTTAAATAGTCAAATTAAGTGAGAAACATTCAAGGTTAGCCTTGTTCCCATCTGTCTACTTTTAGTTTCTGTACACCCTTCCATCTAGGAAGGGAACGGAGGCCATGGATCCCACTTCTGCACACATTGCCCTGACTAAATTGGCAATGCTTTGATCGACTTTTTGCTGTTTCTTTTGATTCCTTCAGACTTTGAAAACCATAGAGGGTACAAATTTAGCTACTTTAACTACAGAGAGAAAATTCTTGCAAAGAGGACTCATTAGGCCAAATATTCTAAGAGAAATTCTCCAATCTCAATGCCTCTGGTAACACTAGGCACATACCTTCTCAAAATGATAGCTGAATAGTCCAGGGCAGGGCCATGTGCTTTATAGCTTGAAGACAGGGACACAGATACAACTGGTTCTGCAGATTTTGTTTTGTATGACTTCCTCCTTCCATTTTACCTAGCTAGGTGCCAGAATGTTGGTATCATTTCCAAACAAAAAAGTACTTCTGTGTTTATCATGATTTGATATTAGAGACCACTTCGATAATACACTGAATTCTTTTAGAAACATCTGCAGGAAGCACGAGCCTGTTCTTAGAGTGTAAACCCTGTATCTGACAACATTGGGAAACTCCTCTGGGCAAAGATCATGTTTCCTGCTTGTTAAGGCTGTCCAAACTCTGCAGGAGGTGACACTGAGGGTGCTTTGCACCAAATGCAAATGGCAGCTTTCTGTTTAAGATGAACACCAAAGGAGGGGCTGGGGATTTAGCTCAGTGGCAAAAGCGCCTGCCTTGCAAGCGCAAGGTCGTGAGTTCGGTTCCCGGTACCGGAGAAAAACCAAAAAAA